TTTTTCTATTTCTTCTTCAGCAGGTTCAGTGGTTTGCGTCTTTCTAGCAATGTGTCTATTTCATCTATTTAATTTAATCTGTGGGCTTACCTTTGTTTATAGCATTGCTTTTTAATAAAATTTCTGCAAAGTCTACAGTAAATGTCCTCTCATTCCTGGTTTGAGTGATTTTAGTTTTTTCTTTTTTAGTCAGCAATAACTAGGTATGTCAGTTCTGTTAATTTAAAGATCAAATTTTTAGTTTTTTATTTTCTCTATTATTTTTCTATTTTTAATTTTTTCTACTCCAGTTTTTATTATTTCTCTCCTTCTTCTTTTGGGTGTACTTTGCCCTTCTTTTTCTAGTTTCTTGTGATGGAAGGTTAGATTCTTGATTTAAGATCTTTTTCTTCTTTTTGTATTTTAGACTTGGATTTTTTGCACTTATATGTTATTTTACATATATATGTTATATACATATATATGTATATATACATACTTCTATATATGCTTCTTTGTTTTGTTTTTTAAGTCAAGGTCTCACTATATAGCCCAGGCTGGCCTTGAACTTACACCAATCCTCCTGCCTCAGCCTCCTCAGCCCTTGTGATTACAGGCATGCATCACCATGCACAGCTATTATTATTAACTATAGTCACCATGCTATGATGAGATCCCTAATACGTACTCATCCTTACTCAAAATTCATCCCCTTTTACCAATATCTTGTCACTCCTTCTCCTGCTCCCCACCAGCCTTTGGCAACCACCATTACACTCTGTGTATATGAATTTGACTTTTACAAATTACACATAGAAGTGGAGATTGTGTGTTATTTGTCTTTGTGTGCCTGCTTATTTCATTTAGCATTCTTTTAAATTCATTCATGTTGTCACAGATGACAGGTTTCTCTTTCTTTCTTTCTTTCTCTTCCTTGTGAGACAGGGTCATGCTATAGTTCAAGCTGGCCTTGAACTCACTATGTAGTCCAGGCTGGCCTTGAACTTACAGCAATCCTCTGCCTCAGCTTCTCAAGTGCCAGAATTAGAGGTGTGCACCACCATGCCCAGCTGACTCCCTTATTTAAAAGGTTAATAACATCACATTGTATATGTGCATATTTTATCTGTCAGTGTACAATAAGTTTGACACCATATCTTGGCTACCTTCTTTGAATAATGCTTCAGTGAACATGAAGTACAGATATCTTTTTGACACCCAGGTTTCATTTCCTTTGAATCTATACCATAAGAATTGCACCTGGGTTGCCAGTTCTATTTTTAAATTTTTGTGGAACCTCCATAATGTTTCATAATAGCCTCTTTAAATATAGGTGTTTACACTTATATATCTCCCTTTATATATTTATATATTGCTTTCACATCTCTCTTATATTCTAGTATATTTTCAATTTAATTTATCTCATAGTATTTTCTAATTTCCTTTGATTTCTTCTTTGACCATTCGTTACTCGTGACTGTAGTTTAGATTCTACACAATTGTTAATTTCCCCAGTTTCCTTCTGTTACTGATTTTTAATCTCATTCCACTGTGACTAAGAAGTATATTTTGCATGATTTCAATTATTTTAAAGTCATTGAGGGCTGGGGATGTAGAGTGCAAGTTCCTGAATTTTATCCCTGGTACTAAAAAAAAAAAAGTCCTGTTTTATGGAATAATGGGTTGTCCATCCTGAAGAATACCCATGACTCTTCTGTTATTGTTCATGGAGTATTCTATAGATATCTGTCAGGTCTGGTTGGTTTATATTATTCAAGTTTTCTGTTTCTTACCACCTGTAAGCACTTCAGCCTCCCAGGTACCTGGAACTACATGTACATGCCACAGTGGTCGGTTTATTTCTTCAGTACTGAGGGTTGAACTCAGGATCTTCCTCTCATTGACCTACATCCCTAGCCCTTTTTATTTTTTGAGTCAGTGTCTCATTAAGTTGTCTAGGCAGGCCTTGAATTTATAATCCTAATGGCTTCAGCCTCTCAAATATCGGTGATTACAGGCGTGTGCTAAAGACTTGTTTTCACTTAGACTCAGTGTGTCTCTACCCCTGAACAGGAGCCATAAAGTCCTAGTCTGGCTTCTGTACCATGCCTGGAAGGTGTTTAGGCCAGGTAGAATCATCAGTGATCAGGATTAGGGTTCAATGTGGGGTTCAGGGTAGTTATGCCTGGGAAGTTCAGTAGGACAGATGCGGGCAGGGAAGAAGAAGGAAGTGTTCTAAGTATGTGCCTGGGCTCAAACAAACTGGACCCAATGAAGCCACACAATGGCCCACAATGGCTAGGTGGTTTAGAAAGTAACTGGTGTCTCTAATGTCTCAGGCACTGAAATGAATATGCTGGGAATCACCACATCTTCTTGTCCCCTGGAAGAGGGTGAGAATGACAGCTGGCGGTGAAGATAGGTGGTTTACCACCTTGTTTTCCGATATGATTTCACTTATGAAGGGACAGAGTTGTGGCAATTTCTTCTTTAATCGGGGGCCCTCCAAACTCCAGAGCATCTCTCTCCAGAAGCTTTCCCTAATAACCACCCTCTACCCTCCTATTTCCTCACCCAGCTGAAGCACCACCTGTTTCCTCAGTACCACCTCCTCCACCCAGTGGGAAGAACATATCCCTAACAGGGAGGGCTTAAGCTTCTCTTACAGTAATGTGATAGAGGCTCTAGAAAACCAAAATGCTGTCTTGACCTTTATAACAATAACTTATACCTCCACAGAAAACATTTGTTTGCTAAATTAAAGACCTAGAGGCACAGAATTATAACAGTAAAATGTCAACTGAAATTCTTGCACAGGTGTGGCCTTTGTGTTTGGAAAGTACAGGCCGGTATCTCCATCCATCTAGCTGTTGGCTCAACCTGTTGCTTCTTTTCTGGAAGCTGGAGACAACTTCCTGCTACTGCCTCCATGAGGCTGTGCGGTAGACATGTAGCCAGACCTGCTCTGCGACTCCCCCATTCTTCTTCCCATACCCAGTCACCATCCATCCTGCCGGGGACCATACTGTATTTTTTTTTTCTTTTTTGAGACAGAGTCTCACTATGTAGTTCAAGGCTGGCCTTGAACTCACTATATAGTCCAGGCTAGCTTTGAACCCCCAGAGATAGTTCTGTCTCAGCCTCCAGAGGGCTGGGATTACACGCAGTGCTACCATGCCTGGCTTCTGGGATTGTATAGTAGGAAGTTCTCAACTGGATTCCCTGGGGAGGGGAAAGAGGTGTGGGGGGCATTAGTACAAGGATACAGAGCACAAGAAGCACAAGGGGGCCTACTCCTCTGTCTTTTCCCAAATCACCTCCGGCCCCTAACACTACCCAACGCCAAATTCAGGGCTTGCCACCTCAGACCAAGTATCTCCCCTCTCCTCAAGCTGCTGGAAACAATTTAAAATAGATGAAATAAACAGTTTTAAGATAAGAAGCAGGTTGTTCCTTGGGAGCTGAGCTGTGTACCAGAGAAGGTAGGGTGTCAACAGAAGCCCCACTGAGTCAAACAATGGCAAGAAAGGAAACCACCCCATTTTGCTGGAAGTTTTTCTTCAGGGATTGGTCTGAGCAGCCTTTTCTGGCAGGAATGTTCGCATAGCTGTTCCCAGAACAGAAGGTAGTATTTTCTTCAAATGCTTTTCAAAATATGCTTGTGTGTATGTGTGTGAGTGAAACAGAGATAAAGGTGTGAGAAGGATATAGATCTTAGAAGCCTGGAACACCACAGTTTAGATTTTTTTTCCCCATAAGGAAAATGATTGAATTTAAGAAAGATTTCTTTGGCTGCTGTGAGGATTGGATTCAAGGACCCAAGAGTGGAAAGAGTTGAGAGGCCACTACAGTAATCCAGGTCTGATGTGGGATAGTGGCTGAAGGAAGGAGAAGTCAACATTACTCTTGTACTTGGGGAGGAGAGAAAGGCCTAGAGTGCTTGGTAAAGAGAATCAGCAGAAGTCTTACCCTGGTGGGGGTCAGAGACAGAACTGGGGTCAGAGACACTTTACTCAAATCTAGGGGAACAAAGGCAAAAACTCTCCCAGGAAACCCACATCTCACAGCTTGGCTAGAACTAAACCCATTCACACGGAGTTGGAAAGGAAACTGAAGCAGACTCCCAGGAAGACAGGATCATAGTCTAGGCCCCAGACTCGGGGCTCCTCTTCAGTCCATCCCTGCTAACCTCTGGAGGATGGAGCTCTCCAATGCTGCATTTCTCCCGTACCACCATGAACATAGCCCCCAGGCCCAGGGGAAAACAATGAGGAATTCTGGCTATGACATGCCTGCTAGAAGCTCTTTGAAGGAGGGTCAGGCTCCCTAGATCCAGATGTTCATGGACAGAGATAAACTTGGAATATACAAGAGTACTGGTAGGGATGGGGGACAGCATAAGGCTGGAAGGGATGGGAACTGAGCACTGAAAGAATACTTATTCGTTAAGCAAGAAAATGAGAAATAGTATTATAATAGTTACTTTTTATTGAGCACCTACTTTGTGCCAGGCACTTTACATACATCTGTGCTTAAAATTCTCACAATGACTTTGGAGGTAGGCATTTTACATGTAAGGAAACTGAGGCTGTGCTAGGTTGAGCAGCTTACTCAAGGTCACACAGCCGAATTGGCACTAGAGATAGGCATCTCCAAGGGCCCCAAAGCTTTCATCAGGTATTTCTCACACTGAAAATATAAAGGGGATAGGAGAGGTGGGCAAGGGGAAGAATTCTTTAGAGAGTAGAGCTATTGAGGGAAGCTGAGCTCCACCCTGTTTCCCACTTCCTGAATCTGGCAAGACGCTCCTCTCTCTGACTCTGCAGCAAACTCAGGAAAAACTGTCTTGGCTAAGGCTGATTTTAAGGAAAATGGCTGAGACAAAAGACCTTACCCTGTATACGTATTGGCAAGTGTTAGTGTGTGTGTGTGTAGCCAAAGCACACCACTGCCAGGTTAAGAACATTACTCACATTTAGACCACACCCTTGCCACGTGTGCAGAGTTGGACAGCCAAGGAATCTTGAAAGAGCTGTTTATTTCCTATCAGAGTCCCAGGGAAACCACCTGGGCAAAGGCCAGCTCAACAATTAAAGCCTGGAATTTGCCCCTGTCCCCACCTTCCAGGCTGATCTTGCCTCCAAGATGTTGTGCTCATTCTACAGAGATTCAGGACCCATGGTGTGCCATTCTTCCCCTTTCACTCACATACTTGTGGACACGAGTGCGCACGCGCTCGCACACACACACACACACACACACACACACACACACACACACACACCGCGCGCAAGCGCACACACATGTGCATGCATTCTTCAGTTAAGGCTTAAGTCTGGCCTGTGTGGCCCTACAAGTCTGCCCATCAGCACACCAGGCCCATGGCTAAGCCCATGTACACAGATGGGTTAGTGCAGTGTTAGGAGGCTTCACAAATAGGGATAACAGTGACGCCCTGCTCCCCAGGGGGAGCCCTTGCCTCCTTGTCAATCGGCCATTCCCCCAGCTGGAGTGGGACCAGGTCAGCCACAGTTCAAGCATCTGCTGAGAACTCATGGCCTGGCTTCTAACACCAAGAATGCACAATTTCTAAGTGTGGCAGGGACTATTTTGGGATTTTAAAAGAGGACTGAGTTCCCACCTTAGAAGGACAAAGATGGCTGTGAAGGCTAGGATGGAGGGAAGATGTTTCTCTGTGTGCTTTTTTTGATTGTTTTTGTTGGTACTGGGGAGGAACTCAGGACCTTGCACTTGCACAGTGCCACTGCGCTAAATCCCTGGCCCACTTCCTGTGCTTTTAAAACCAGATGGTGTTTAACAGACAGAAAGCCAACCTCTCCTCTGAGCTCTCTGCCTCTACCATAGAGAAGAGGTTTCTGCCGACTGTAGCAAGTGTGGGAGGACAGGGGACTGTTAGGTTGTGCACTGGAGTCAGAGGTTGCTTCAACTTTCCCTCCCTAGGTCTCACCCATAGCAGTTGACTCCAGCACTCTTAAGTCAGCACCCAAGTACTGGTTGGTAGAGAGGTGGTGACTTCCTGGGGATGAAGGTTTGAGTGTGAAGGAGGGTTAAACTCTGCTCGAAGGCTGGAGCTAGGGCTGTGAGATTCCCTGTCCTGGACCAGATCAGGACACCCAGGTGAAGTAGGCGACCTCATCCAGATCAACTGGGTAATCTGTGAGCAGCACAGGCGTCTTGTCGAAAAGCTCACCCTTGTAGCTTCGCCACTTGCCAGCGGGCAGGTAGACGTCACGCTCCTGCTTGCCTGGCTCCAGCACAGGCGCCACAAGAAGCGTATCCCCGATAAGGAATTGAGAGTCAATGCGATGAGCCGTCTCGTCGCCAGGTGCGATCCACCAAAGGGGGCGCACGATGGGGTCGCCAGTGTCAGTGATCTCACCAGCAAGCTCCAGCAACAGCGGTGCCACAAGTGAAGCCCGAAGTGCTGCGAACTTGTGCGCGATGGCCACCACTTCAGCGCCGTATTGCCAGGGCGGGATTGAGAATTGCATGGCTGGCATGAAAGCGGCTACCTCCAGCCAGCGCACATAGAGCTCGCGCTCTGGCCCATTGGGACCGCCCACTGTACGCTCGGGCACCGCGTTGCCGCCAACCATATCTGGCAGGATGAATGCATAGCCCAGCATGCTGACAGTGAGCACGGCGGGGATGAGCGAGCGCAACCCCAAGTCGTAGCCCCACACCGAGTCTCGGTCCACGAGGCGGAAGAAGCATGAGATGTTCTGTGACTGGTACCCCACTCGGACCTCGGCCCTCGAGTAGAAAGGCAGTGCCATCTCAGTGTAGCGCCGGCTCCATACGCTGGGGTCTGGTAGGGGCCTGTAGGTGCTGAAGTCCCGCGGCAGGTAGCTGACCTCACCCGCGTCAAATTTAAAGGAGGCCACGCCGTAACGCGAGCGCAGCCGCTGCAGGTGACTGTGGAACCAGTCGCGGGCCTCTGGGTGTGTGAAGTCGAGCACGGCGCCGATACCGTTCCACCAGCGCACTAGCGCGGGCAGCCGGCCGGTGGGCTCTCGCACGAACAGCTCGCGCTCCACGCCCTCGCCAAAGCGAGAGGAGTTGTAGTTGACGAACGGGTGCACCCAAAGCGTGATGGAGAAGCCAGCCTCGCGCAGGCGGTCGAACATGTTGCTGGCGTTGGGGAACTTGGCCTCATCAAAGTCGAAGTCGCCATAGGCAGGCGTGTACATGTCATCGATTTCCAGGTGGCTGCTGTTGAAGTGATGCTGGCGGATTTGCTGGGCGAAACGCAGCACCTTGTCCTGGTCCACAGCGCGCCCGTATATTGCCCACGTGGACCAGATGGGGTGTTGGAAGGCCTCGGGCGCTGGCACTCTGGATGGCTTGTTGAAGTAACGCCTCACCATGTACTTGTGGATGGAGGTGACATCTGAGCCCACACACACACGGTAGCTGAGCTCGGGCGCTGCGATGTGGCCGGCGGGAGGCTTGTAGGGCGTGTCATGGTAGCGCGCCTGGAGCCGTAGGGAACGCTCTGTGCTGTTCCAGCCCAGGTGGAAGGGCACTGAATCATTGACTTTGATGGCAGCAGCGCGCGATGACAGCCAGTAGCGCTCTAGGATTCCCCCGAAAGCGGCGTCGGAAGAGTAGACATCGCTGGTGACGAAGGGCTGCGGCTCCTGCTGGCCATCCAGACGGATGGGCCAGTGTTGCGTCCTCATCTCGGCGCCACCGTACCAGTGTGCTGCAGCGTCGCCCAGGAACATGGTGTGCTCCACGGCGCGCCCGGGTGCCGTTTCCTCCCAGCGCACACGGTAGCACATGACAGTGTCCTTGGGCCGCACGGTCTGGATGAAGAAATGCAGCGGGCGCCCTTCTGCGGTGCGCGAGCAGCCTAGCATGGCGCCGTCGCGGCTGCAGGAGTCGAGGTCCAATGCGCCGGAACGGAAGGCCAAGCGGAAGACCTGTTCGCCTTTCTGGTTGCGGATGGAGAAGCCACCTCGGTTGAGGTCCAGCAGCTCAGCGCGCAGGCGCTCCGCTTTGCGTAGGGAGGCGCTGTAGTAGCACCAGGCCACGACCGCTGCCAGCACCAGTATCAGCCCCAGCACTGCGGAGCCCAGTAGCGGCCTCACCTCTTTAGATGGCTTGGGCTTGGCAGGCGAGAAGTTGTCGGGCAGGAAGGTGTACATGGCTGCTGCTGCTGCAACGACCTCAGAGCTTTTCTGGCCTGCGTGGCTGCGGCGGCGGCGGCGGTGAGGATGGGCCTGGTTCTTCTCTTCAAGGTTCTGGGGCATCAATCAATCCCCCGCTAAGGAAGGAGCAGGCAGTGGGGCCACCCGACCAAGTCCATCTGAACCCGGTCTGAGTCTGAAAGGGAGAGAGAGGAAACTGAGCTTTCTCCTCCCATAGTATTTACACCTGTCTTTCAGCCCTTAATCACCAAGTCTCCTTTCTCTGTTTATCGGTACAGCCACTGTGGGCCACCTACTTCCTATCTCTGTCTCTGCCACCCACCTACTGTCCTGCTGCCCCTTCCCTAGTTTGGGCACTGTCACTTCTCCCCTGTAGTACTGCAACAATTTGCCAGTAGGCTTCCCTGTCCCCAACTTCACTCCCTTCAGTGAAACCACAGTGATCTGTCTAAAAGTACTCATCAAACCACATCTGTCCCTACCTTTGAGAACTGCGCAGTGAGCCCCATGATGAAATTCAGAAGTGTAAACTTTTTTTTGAAGTGTACACTTTGTAATCAAAGCTTACAACATGATGTGGTCTCAGCTACCTTTTTGATTCGATTGCAGCTTGGCCTATCCTGTCTTTACCTAACCTAAATCCTTCAGACCATCTGCCTTAGGAGAGTTCATCCTTCCAGCCTGATAGCCTCTCCTCCACCTACATCTGATCTCTGTAGGGATCAGATGACCATATTACACACATAGATTTTCACAAACTGTGTGCTGAACACCCAGATATGACTGCAGGGAAACATAGACCTGGGGGAAGGTATGTGTCTTAATCTGTTGTTCAAGGCTACTGACCCTTTTTGTCCTAGCCATCAGGGCAGAGTCCAACAAAGAAACAGCACCAGCCAGGTGCTCACACAGGCAGACATCCAGCTGGCTGGCCAGCTACCTAACCACTCCAGCTGGGGGCTGGGAAGAGAGGGAGACTAGCAAACAGTAATTAGCCTCCTCCCAGATGCCAGTGTCTGTCTTGTCTCCAGTGGCTTCAAAGAGGTTCTGGAACTATTCAGGGTTTCTTTTTTAACCCATTAAGCTACCCAATGCAGAAACTATGAAGACTGATGCAGATCAGAAGCTTGATCCTATATGCCAGATACACAGTATCTCTCATACCTCCCCACCCAAGTTGTTCCTTCCACCTAACTCCCTAAACTTTCAGTCCCTCCTGGTCTGGAACAGCTTCTTCATTTCCACTCAGCACACATAACTTAGCTTTCCTCCCTACCTTCCTGTAGGTACAAGTTACAAAAACCCTCCTGGAAAATGCAGGAAGTAGCTTTTAGCTGACAACCTCAAAACTAAGCAGAACCCAAAGAAGGCCTTAGGTCCCCAGGCCAGAATTGCTAAACATTCATATTCATTCATTCATTCATTCATTCACTCAAGACAACCACTGTTGTATTCTGGACAGCACCAAGGGAATAAAGGGAAGAAGGCTCACATCTGAATAGTACAGAGGCTCCCTCATCTCCATCCTCATATCAAGTCAGACTTCTCTCATGACCCTTGGAGCTACCTTAATGGACGCAAGCCTTTTCTAACTTTTGGGTTTTGATGATCTTTTCTTTGAATAAATTTTTTAAAATTTAAAGTTTAAAATACATAGTCATTCTTGAAGTTTTATAATGAATTTATTTTCTATCAATATAGCCATAATATAAAAATTTCAAAAGAAACGTTTGAAAATCTTAAATTTGTAGGATTCTAAGGTTTTTTTTCCTCTTGGTATTGGGGATCAAAACCAGGGACACTCTAACTCTAAGCTACATCCCTAGTCCTTTTCATTTTTAAAATTTTGAGACAGTATCTCCTTAAGTTGTCTAGGTGGAACTCAAACTTGCACCCTCTTGCCTCACTCCTTTCAGTGATAGGATTACAGGTTTGTGCCACTGTGCCTGGGTCTAAGGTTCTGTGATGAAGAACAGCTGCCCACAGACTTGGGTACCCACTCTGTTGGGACACTATGCTGGTCTCCCAAATACACCCAGAGCATCCATCCCTAACAACAGTATGGAGCAGCAAGATAACTAGGGTTCCCACTTAACAGATGAGAAAAGAGTAGCCCAAACAGAAAACAGGGGCTTGTCTGAAGTCATCTAGGTAGCAATTTTGCTTGCATTCTTTGTTGTTTTGCTTTGTTTTTGCTATATAGCCCAGGTTGACCTTGAACTCGTGGCAGTCCTCCTAACTCAGACTCCCGAGTGCTGGGGTTATAGGCATGCACCACCATGTGCAGCCTGCTTGCATTCTTTCAAATTTACCAGCCTATTTGCATTCTTTAAAATTTTATTTCCACCGTCTACTGCGTGTTTTGGGACATGAGAGATAATGGTCTGACTGGGCTGCCTGACCAGTGTGGTAGATAAGGGTTTGCTCTGCAGACTGACCAGGAAGACCTCTTAGGGGGCTTAAGAGCAGCTTTTTTTTTGAGACAGGGTTTCACTATGTAGTCCAGGTGGGCCTCAAACTCATGGTGATTCTCCTGCCTCAGGCGTGCTGGGACTATAGGTATGTACCACCACTCGCAGTTGAAAGGAACAATTATTTTCCCCTTTTTGGTACTGGGGATCAAACTCAGGTCCTTGTGTTTGCGAGGCAGGCGGCGGAACCACTGAGCTAAATCCCCCGTCCCTGAAGGGGGCAACTTTAACGACATATGGTACCAGGACTGTGGAGGAGGAACTCTAGTTCCGGTGTTAGCAGTGGTTAGAGACCTCTAATCTGCCGCCTCCACCATCTGGCCAACCACAGGCTAATGCTAGCAGGTAGGGTTCTGTCCCGGGCGGAGTGTCTTCCAGCGTAATACTCAACCTGTCTTGGCTTCCAGCCCCTAGTTTGGTCAGAGGGAGAAGGCCTAGCCCGGCTCCACTAAGAGAAGGTAATTCCAAGTAGAGTCATTTGTCGGACACGTTCCTGAGGGGAGGGACGGAGTGGTGGAAATGTCAAAGGCAACTCGAACCGGCCCATCTCTCTCCCTTGCCCAGAGACTGGATCCTCGAGGATCGAGTGACCGCGCGTACGTAGTCTAGAATACCTCCACACCCACCCTTGGCGCCTCACTCGACAGCTACGCTTTCCAAAGGGGCAAACGAAGGTCAGGGGACCTGTCGTCCTCTGGGAACCCGGCCTGTGTAGGGGCCCAGGTGTCCAGGGTCGCTCCACCTACTGGTCAGCAGGAGCCAAAGTTCAGGAATAGTGCGCCTTCAGCAGCACACCCCCAACCGCCCCAAGATCCTTCTGTGGGGCTCACTCACGGTAGTGACGGCTTGGCAGAAGAATGAAGGGCTCCTCCGCAGATCCCTCCACGCCAACCTGATGCGACCTGCCAGCACTAGGCGCGGGACGCTGCCTGGCTGGACACAGCCGAGCCCCTCCTCGGCCCCGCCCGGGGCTACTCGGCCACGCCCAGCCGC